CCTTCTCTCTGCCCTGTAACACCTCCATTGAAACTCCCTTCAGGGGGGTCTTCCTGCTGCAGAGGCTAAAGACAAGCTATCGCCAACCACTGCAGCATGAATTCAATCCTTGGGCACCAGGGAGCTAACCACATGGCACAGGAGACCTCTCCTGTCTTGCCCACTGCTTCCCTCAGCAGTGTATTTCAGTCAATCCAGCTGTTCTGCTCCTCAACTCTGTGTCTGCTGAATCCTCTCACCCCCCTGTAGGGTAAAGAAAATATCAGGCTTTTCTGCCCTTCCGCCATCAGGATAGATGATGGATCCTTCTCCTGAATGCATGCCTGATGTCGGGCACCTGGAATAGGGTGTGGGCATAGGTAGATGGGATTCAGCTGAGCTAAGACTGTGCTTTTTAAGGGCGGCATCACGGGGGGACGACAGCAGCACCAGTAGCAGCAGCCGCAGTAGCAGCAGTAGAAGCCGAAGCAGAAGCCGAGAAGCAGCAGAACGAACGCCAGAGAGTCCAGATAGAGTGAAGACTTGCTGGGGGCTGGGAGGCCTGCCAACCTCCCAGCCCCCCAGCCAGCACCCCTGCCTGCCATATGCCTGGTGAACCCCAAATAAAAAACCTGCAAAAACCCACTAAGGACTCTGACTCCTTTACCCGGTCTGCATGGGATCAGAAAACCTACACTGTGCCCATGTCCTGCCCTTATACCCCCACACCATTGGCCTGTACCCCAGTTCTTGTATGATAAATAAATCTTAAAAAAATAAACTCACCATCTATTTAACATTGCAACTAAATGAGAAATAAATGTTATAAAAGATCAAATTATATGACAACGAGTGGAGTATACCTGTAGGCTTTAGTGAGATAAATTCTCAATTGTATGAATCATTTCCTTAAACATTTATGGTCTTATGAAATCAAATTCCATTTACTTTTTTCCCCCCAAAAATGAACCTTAGATAACTCCCGAGTTTTGATTATAGGCCATATTAGAGGTTACAACATAAGTTAGCTGAAGGTTTCAAATAATTCTACTTTTTAACATGGGTTTTCTTTAAATTCCCATTCTTAAGTTCCAGCTCCTTCAAATGGTTCTGGACATTTTATGCTTCTGCATCAGATGGTCAATATATTATAGTTAGTTTTAATTAAAATAGTTCATGTTCAATGTCCAAGTTGAGTGTTTTACCTAAAGCTTACAGATGAGCATCCTCCACCTCCAAATGAGTATGAATTAGGAGAAAATGCAATGCTTGCAGCATTTCAGTATATGAAAAGCTACTCTTGGACCTTAAGTCATTCTACTGGAACAGTAATATGTAGAAATTCTTGTTCTGATGCGCTATGGCATCTGTATTAATTTTGTTCTTATTTGCTGGGAATAATTTGCAAATTTGAGTATTTTCTTAGTTTTAGTGCAATGCCTCTCTCCATAGAGTTATCTGCTAAGTGTGCTTTGCTTACTGCAGCCTTTATCATTTTATGTTGCTTTGTACAATTCCAACTTTCACTGTATAGGCACGCAAGACTACCTTAGGTTTTGAAGAAACCCAGTCTTACTTAGAAATATGTTTGACTTGTGGAAGACGTTAATGTCAGAAAGTGATTAAAAAAAAAAAAAACTTTCCATGTGGACTTTGACAGTCTTAACCTCAAAGCATAGATAATGATAAGAGTAGAAATAATAGAAATAGAGATGAACTAATCAAAACATCAAGGAACCCAAGAAGAGAATACCAAGCTTCTTAGATATAAATGACTAAACCTCTAAATTACAACTATCTTTTAAGAAAATTAGTCAGTTTATTTTCTGGACGATAGAAATTGGGAAGGAATTCAAATAATAAATCCAATAGGTTTTTTTTTGTGTGTGTGTGTGTGTGTGTGTGTGTGTGTGTGTGTGTGTATTGAAATTTAAACCTTCAAAGATAAATGACCAAATTTGTTCTCTAGTATTTTAACTAGAATTTTAACCTTAATCTAAAGTAATAATCAAGGGCCTCCCTCGTGGTACAAGGGGTTAATTACTGCACTATGAAGCAATCTGAAGCCTCTGCAGCACGAGTTCAATCCCCAGCCAGCCAGGGAGCAACCCACATGGCACAGCAGACCTCTCCTGTCTCGCCTGCTGCTCCCCTCAGCAGTGTATTTCACTCAGTCTGCCTGTTCTGTTTCCCCACTCTGTCTGTGGTGAATCCTCTCACCCCCCCCCTGTATTTCTGGCCTGTACCCCTGCTTTTGTATGCATAAATAAATAAATCTTTTTTTTAAAAAGTTATGATCAAATATATTTATAATTATTATCAAAAATATAATAATCTCTATATAGTTATATGAGCAGGGACATTAAATATATGCCCTATCTAATTTGAGACTTTTCTAAAGTTGTCAAGTAATTTGGTTTTCAGTATTACAAATAATGATGGTAACCTGGATGTTCTGCCTTTTCTTTTTATATTTCAGAATTTCTTAAATTTGAGACATCAAAATATCTGTGTAACATCCTATTACTAAAATTCCAAGTGACTTTGTGAATAAAAGTAAAAAGACTTAATGTGAGCAGCTTGATCTTAGGATTTTTAATGGAATTAGAGGATTTTTTTTTTTAAATACAAGAGCTGGGATACAGTCCAGATGCACGGGAGTGTGAGAGGATTCACCAGAGACAGCGGGGAACAGAACAGGCAGACTGAAGAGATACACTGCTGAGGGGAGCAGCGGTAGAGACAGGGAAGGTCTGCTTGCCTTGCCCCGAGGCCGGCGGGGATCAAACCAGCACTGCAGAGGCTGCGGACAGCTTCACAGCGCTGTGCTTAACCACCTGCGCCACCAGGGAGGTCCAATTAGAGGAATTTTAAAAAGCTTTAAAGCTAAAAAGTTTTAAAGTCATAACTTCACTTACAATTTTCAATCACAGAGTTATCAGAGACAAGTTATTTCAGCACATAGCTTCATAGCCATTTCTGTCAAAATACCCATTGAACATAATTTGGGATTTGTTTTTAAAAACTGGTAAATACAAACATTTCTGTTGGTGGTTTTCTACTTTTTAAAGCTCGTATTATGCTTTTAAAGCCTTTGATGATTCTGCCCCTTTTTCTCAATTGCCCGTCTTTTTGTGTTCCCACAACAGTACCAAACTAGCAAAAAAAAAAAAAAAAAAATTCCTTTTAAAAGTGTTTTGTGGCTGCCAGCACTCCAGTCTTTATGTGTTAGAGATATCCAAAAGCAACTGTGATCCAAATTTCTTACCATTTAGACTGGATACAATTAGAAATTGAAACAGTAAGAAATGATTCAAAGGGTAGTCCTTACTACTTGGTTGATGAAATGTCAAAAGAAGAAAATACATTGAAAAGGAAAAAAAAATCCTATATAAGACTCATGCCATAAGGGAGAAAGAGAAGTTCATTCACTTTTTTTTTTTTAAGATTGATTTATTTATGCATACAAGAACTGGAATGCAGACCAGAGGTGGAGGGTGAGGATTCACCAGAGACAGAGTGGGGAGCAGAACAGGGAGACTGAAATATGCTGCTGAGGGGAGAAGTGGCCAAGACAGGAGAGGTCTGCTGAGCCACGTGGGCTGCCCCTGCTGGTTTGCATCTAACTCTTACTGCAGTGGCTGGTGATAGCTTGATAGCACTGTCTTTAACCCCTGAGCCACCGCCACCAGGGAAGCCCTTCATCCACTCGTCTTTGATACTATTAAGTGCAATAAAAGTTGAATTATTTCTAAAATTATTTGTGTTCTGTAAGGATATCAGAGAAATTGCGTTATCTATGTCATTGCTAATGTTTTGTAAATAAATGAAGCATGGATTTCACTTTCTGCATAACAGCCTCTAGAGGAAAGAAGTACAGGAAAGGAAATAGCTTGATTTAAAAGAATCAAAAACTCACAAGGAGTCTTAAAACAACTTTGCTACAGTGACCAAATCATCAGATACTGTGTGGGAAAGACTATGTTTCTCTCCCCCCCACAACCCATTCCCCCCCCCCAACGTATGTCGCCTGGACATTTTACTTATGAGTTCTTGAAGTTGGTTGAAGGGCTCTTGACAAGTGGGGGGAGAGGAATCTTAAGCTCCAGTTCAGGATGTGGAGCTCTAATCACTAGATCATCAAAGCTCAAAGACTAGGGAGGAAAATTAAAGAGCTCAAACACATGCTTTTCTCTCGTATTCTGTAAGCCACAAAGAAACTTTTACCAATTTTAGCTGGGGTGGGGCTGGGCAACCCAGAAACTAAGGGCTGGAAACATAGAAAGAGGAGTCTTTCCAGGACTGGCAGAAGTGCGGTAAAATGAGGCGTCCGTCCGCCACCCAAGAACCAAGTCTTTGCTTGTTTTCTGAAGTGTTCTACAGGCTCACCGCGGCTGCTGGATGTCATTGCATAGGAGTTAGCAACCAGCAACTCTGATTTGAGATCTGAGACGCTAGTTCCTCGGTTTGGGTATGGGAGAACTTTAACTTCTAGGTGGGCTGAAAAAGGCGTAGCTGTTTGCTTCAGAACTCACTGGAGTTTTCCTCTTGGAAACCGGCAAAACTATCTCTTAGGCCTTCGCAGAGTTTGGGAGTAATGTGCAAATGAATTAGAGCTGCCACCTCCATTTCTTCCGGAAGGCATGGTAGTGGGGTCAGGCACGTACTGGAGTCCCCCTTTGTGTTCCCTACTGGACACTTTTGGGACACAGGTGGGAGAGATCCGTAGCCCAGGCCACTTTGAGAGCTCTGCGTGATACTTGGACGTTCTCTTGTCAGACTGTCAAGAAACAGAGGTACCATCCGCCGCCTTCCAGGGCTTCATCCCCATACACTGGCTAGCCCTGAATGGCCTCAGGTAGTCTGCCGGCCACCGAGTCTCCACCTCCTCTCTGGCAGCAGCCATTCGGCGCGTTCGGGAGTCGAGGGGGTGGGGCCCATTGGCTGGGGGGCGCTGCCAGTCTCGGGAGGGGGTGGGGTGGGGGTGGGGTCTCCGGCCGCGGCGGGTCCCGGCAGCTCACTGTTAGCTGGGTGGTGAGGAACGCGTGAGCACTCGCTACTGTAGATTTGCAACTGTTCGTAGAGAGGGAGAGCGCGCCAGAGAGAGCGCAAGAGAGTGAGGTAGCAAGTGCCAGGGGACCTAGAGGAGAGAGGACAAGAAAGTGAGGGCCCAAAGACCTACGATTTGAGACTGAATGACCATGGCTGTTTCCGCATCTCCGGTGATCTCTGCAACTTCCAGCGGCACCGGAGTCCCGGGGAGCTTATTTGGGGATGAACCCCTGTACTCGACTCCGGGAGAGCCTCCTCGTCTCACCCCCAAGATGATCAACAGTTTCATTGCCAATAACCACAGCGGCAGCGCTGGAGTTGGCGGGCTTGGTAGTGGCAGTGGCGGCAGCGGCAGCACCAACGAATGCCGAATGGTCGACATGCACGGGGTGAAGGTGGCTTCGTTCTTGATGGACGGGCAGGAACTGATCTGCCTGCCCCAAGTTTTTGATCTCTTCCTTAAGCACCTGGTGGGAGGATTACACACGGTTTACACCAAGCTGAAGAGACTGGACATATCCCCGGTGGTATGTACTGTCGAGCAGGTCCGGATCCTCCGCGGCTTGGGGGCCATCCAACCCGGGGTGAACCGCTGCAAACTGATCACCAGGAAAGACTTCGAAACTTTGTTCACTGATTGCACCAATGCCAGGTGAAATAATTGTTTCTTAACCCTCTGCTCTCCCTTTGTCCTCTTCTGCATGTCTCATCACCCCTATTCAACTTTGTAGAGAATGAATCTTAATTAGCTTGCCTTTGCGCTTCATGCTGTAAGCCCGTGAGGTAAGGAAGACTAGGATTGTCCGTTCATTCTAGTCTGCGCTTTGTGGCAGGACTTGGGTCTAAGAAAGTCCCGCACAAACTTCTTTTTGCAAACTTTCCAGCCTTTACTCATATCTCGCATGGCATATCGACCGATTGTGTTCATTTGTTAATTTATCGTCATTGCTCTTTTGTGGCCTTACGGGTTGTATAGATTTTCTTGTGATCACTGGACACCAAGGGCTCTCTGGGGCTCTCTGGAGCTATAAACTGCTCCTAAGCTGGCAATCCACACATTATTTGGGGCATGCAGACGGTCAGCAGTCTAGAATCCTTCCCAGAGGATGAATCATTTCCCATCTTGTGTGTTTTGTTGTGAGAGTGTATGAGTGTGTGTATGGTAGTGGTGATGATGATGGTCGTGTTGTTATTGGTGTGTGTGTGTGTTTGTGTGTGTGTGTGGCGGAGACGGGGGGGGGGGAGAGTGGGGGGGGAGAGAGAGAGAGAGAATATGTGTGCTCATGAGTGCTGCACAAAGCTCCCACATCAATGAAACAGGAAAGTAGATGAATCCTGTTTTAAAAAACAAAACAAAACAAAACAAAACAACCACTACAGATGTCACTTTCCTGGGATCTTCCTTTTTGGGTCATCAGCAGAGGGCAATTTGGAGCTTAAAACGCTGGAGCTGGGACGGGTTGGGGTTGGAATAGAAGTTGGCAGATTTTCTAGAGAAGATGCTTTCAGCAGTTCCCCTACCCCCAACCCCAGGCAAAAAGTTGGAAGGATCCCATTTCCTCAAAAAGAGGATTCCTTAAATGACTATGGCCAACTTCTCTTGTTGTAAGTGTACCTCCTTCATATCACAGCTTAGAAGTGCATTATAGAACAAATGTGCATTTGCACATGTCCATAAGCAAATTGTACTCAATGTTTCTGAATTGAAAAATGGAAGGAAACTATTTTCATTATTATGTGGCTTTTTGAAGACCTATGAATTATTATTCTAATGTTTATTCATTTCCATTCTGGTAATATCTGTTAGGAAAGTTCACATTTGACAGATGTGGTCAGCACACAAACCAAGGAATCACTATCACCAGGTGAAAGGAAGCAAAGGACTTTGTTGTAAAACGGCACTATTGTTGATCATTTTGCTGAAAACTTCTGCAGAGGTAGATTTTCTCACCAATGCAACTTTGAATCATAAGACCTTTGGATCTATGAACTAAGACTAACTCAGTTGTCATATCTGTTGTAAAACCCAAATTATTATGTATAGTTGAAGTAAACTGACAACTTGTAGACAAACTTAGTGCTACAATAAGATAATGCTACAAAACTTACAAGGGAACCCTTTGTTGTTCTTTTTGTCCTTAGAGCATTGTTCTAGCAATTCAAAAGAACCCTGTTCAAATGAAAATTCCTACCTGATTCATATCTGAGGTTTACAAGTCCGGTTTATTAGATCAGATTTTCTTTCTTTTCTCTCTCTCTCTCTCTCTCTCTCTCTCTCTCTCTCTCTCTCTCTCTCTTTTTTTAAAGATTTATTTATTCATACAAGAACTGGGGGACAGGCCAGATGTGTGGGAGGGGTGTGAGAGGATTCACCAGAGACAGAGTGGGGAGCAGAACAGGCAGATTGACCAAAATACACTGCTGAGGGAAGCAGCAGGTGAGACAGGAGAGGTCTCATGTGCCATGTGGATAGTTCCCTGGCTGGGGATCGAACCTGTGCCGCAGTGGCTGCAGGTAGCTTTATAGGTTGCGTTTTAACCTGATGAGCCACCAGGGAGGCCCTAGATCACATTTTCTTAAGGAAGATTGATGGCCTTAAGACACAAAGGATAACTGCTCCTTCAATAAAATTAGCCATTGTAAATTGTAAGAGTAGAAAAGAAATTTAATTTCAACCACCAAGCACTTTGCTAATATGTATGCTCAAAGGGTTATAAGAGACTTCAGATGAGGGCTGTCTAGTTCATTTGTTGCCATTCAGAAAGATTCCCATTTAAACAATTGTAGAAGTGAAACCTGTCTCCCCTGTCTCCTCCTTACCTCCTCCTCTCTCTGTCTCTCTGTCTCTGTCTTTGTCTCTGTTGCTCTCTCTGTCTTCTCCCTCCCCTTCTTCCTCTCCCCTCTGCCCTCTTCTCTTTCTTACAAATGCCCATTCTTAAAGTAAAATAACAACTGCACACACATAGGAAATTCTTTCTTCCTTAATAAATTTACACATCCTTGAGGAAAAATCTATGACTTACATTTAAAAAATGTTTAGTATTTGAATGTGATTTCAATGCTTTTCTTGTAAATAGAAACTTTTCTTCAATTAATTTTTATTAGAACTACTTACTGAAAGGAAAAATGATAAATTGCTCTGTATCCAGAGACAGGTGCTCTTATACTATACTTGGACCCTGTTTTATAATGTATTTTTTAGGTTATTATTTTAATTCAGTTAAGTTTAATTTACTATTTATCATAATATTTACAATGCCAACTTTTTTTACTTACTGCTTTTGTGTATGTGCATGTAAAAAGTGATAGAGAAATATTAAATATGCAGGGAGAAATATATCTGAGATATGACTCATGTCCCTCCTTTTGTATTTTTTTCTTTATGGGTATTTTATTTATTACATTCATTTTTCATAACTGTTATATGCATTGCAATACAAAATTGTAAAAGAATTTATTGAACATATTCTATTAATGTAATTCAAGAATTAAAGTGAGAAAAACTACTAAAAAACACAATCACAACTTCAAAATAGTTAAAAAAAAAAAACACCTACAATTTCCAGGAGCAATCTAGTTAATTATAAAATTACCTTGCCAAATTTTGTTGATGCAAAATGCACTTTAAATCATGTTAAAACTACAAAATATGATAATGCATTTGGTGGATTCTTTAAGGCTCTAGTTAGCATTATTCACAGAAATTTGAACCTTAAATCAGTCTCAAAATCTGAATGAGCTTATATAATTGTGAAATTAGCATTTAGATCAACTTTTTTTTTATTCAGTGAGAACAGTGAGTTAGATAGGAATGAGAAACAAAATAGGGAAGATGACACATGAAGCCAGTAAGAGAAAAGAGTTATAGAATATGAACAGGATGATCCATCAGAGGAGTGAAAGATGGATCAGAATAGCTTACTGAGGTGCCCAAAGAAGATGAACCATGTACTAAGGTAGACTTGGCTAAAGAGCATTGTCATTAGGGACTCTTGACTTAGCACTTGTAGTTAAAAGGGGAGAAAGTGCAAGGAAAAAATATAGATTCACTGAATGGGAACTCTTACATACTATATTTATTTGAAAAAAGAAATTCATCTTCATCAACTGGTGAATAAGTTTCCATAAACATATCCTTGAATGGAAGACCTATTTGTAATTGATAAATGACAATTTTCTTTTTCTACATAATAAACATTTCTCTCCTTCTCTGTCAAATATTTGGTGGAGAATACAAGTCCTGACTTAGGGTATTTTAATTTGGAATGCTCCTCATGCTATTCCAAGACATACAAAATAGATCATTTTCAAATCGGTCATTTTTAAGAACCTTCATGTAGTGCTACTAAGTGGTATTTTGATTTGGTTCAGGGAAATTTTTCATTAATGTGCACAAAAGATAAATTAATGAGTAAACTATATATGTGATTTTTTTCTTAGGTAACACTGGAAGTTACAACAAGAATTCTATCAGTGTCTCATATTAACTGTTTTTATAAACTATTTTGATATTAGCAAATTATCAAAATATTTAAAGTTGTCATACCAGAAAAGAAGTAGGAAAATAATGCCTACCTCAGCTAATAGAGAACAGTCATCATTCTATTAAAATGAGTTTTAAGATTTACATCACTGCAATTTCAAAGGTCTCTGGATTATTTTTCCTTGATGCTCTTTAATTTTAAGAATTAATTGTAGGGACATTATTTTGGGAGTTATTAAGAAAATGATGACATGAAGACTCAAGCCGTGTTGGAAAAATTGTTATTTTGTTTTAGATCTTTGTTTCTGCAGATAAAACACTTTTTTTTTTTCATTTCTTGTGCAAGAGAACTTGCAGTTTTTAATATTAGAGCAGGCAGATTCAGAAAGAAAGTGTCTAAAATTGCCACTCATGCAATGGATTTTCATTCCTAAATTCTTCAAAGTTTAATGTAGCAGTAAAATATTAAATCAAAAATTTACAGTAAATGTGAAAAATCAGCTAACACATTTTGTGTTCTCTCTTTATCTACCTGTACCTGTCTATATGAAAATAACATTGTTAGATTTCACGATTGGAATTTAGTTTCATTGATTCACTGGTTAAATATTATTTAGTCAATTCACATATAGTTAAGCAGACACTTGAAGAAACAAGAATATGATTGAGGAAAAATTTTAATTTATTTGGAGATGATTCAACATATATTCAAATGAATAAAATTCAGTTTTTTAAATTAAAATTTTAAATGGTCCAATTGTGATTTATTGTTATTTTGACTATAAGGAAAACACAAATGGACTTTGATGTTAAAATAACTTTATGTGAATTATAATAACTTATACAATATTTGGAAAACTACTTTCAAATACAATTTGAAACAATTGTATTTGAAAGAGATACAATTATGTAATCATTCAACCAGTTGTTTTTCTATTCACACTTGATGAATATACACAGAATAAAATAATTTACTTTCAAAATTGATGGCTTTGCATTGGTAGTAAAGTTAGGCAATATTAAATTTCCTAAGAACTTGTGTCACTTTCCTGGGCTAATATTTTGTATAATTTACATTTTCAAAAATGATAAAAAGTTTTTGAAGTTAATCTAAGCAGTAAATGAAGATATTTCATTTTATAGGATCAGGAGGGGATAGTCATATGTCT